TAGAGGTTGTAGCTAATAAACATTGCTGGACTGAATTTACATGGTCTCTTGGAGTTCCTTGGGCTAGGCCTGACAAATAGCTTGTTATTGTTTGCTTTGCCTGATAAGCATAGATGAACACCTTACTGGTATATATATTTAGCTAAAAGAAAAAGTTCCTCCCACTCATTAAAATAGTGCACTTTAGTTATATAATGAAGAAATGTAACTAGTATTAAAATTAACTTTGGTTTAAGAACTGTAAATCTTAATAACTTAAAGCTTAAGAACTATTCCAAAATTAAATGAGAATTATTTTCTCACTTTTCTCTTGTTTTAAAAAAAAAACATATTCATTAATGTTATTTTGAATGTAAGTGGTTTTAGACAAATAGAATTTGTCTACAGCTTAAATTGAGTTGGGTAATGTTAATCTTGAATTGAAAAATGAGCTACGTAGATATGCATTGTGCTGATTTTGTTATAGCTTCGTTCACATTTTGATTTTTATTGTAGAGGACAAGTCAGGCAGCATATGTTTAATAATTATTATTACAGTGTAATGTGAATGGATTATTGTTTGTATTATGGAACCTTCATTAACTCTCTTTTTCCCTCTGGGGGAGATGGGCAGCATACAAATTTAATTAATAAATAAATAAATAAATCTTGCAATTTTTAAAGTGTACCATAAGTGCTTTAAGATACTCATCTACCTAGGTAGATTAATTCAAAAGTTCGTATAGCTGCCAAAATCTGTGTTAATTCTCAGTACAGGTAGTCCTTGCTTAATGACCATTTGTTCAGCGACCGTTCGAAGTTACAGTGGTGCTGAATGAATGGTAATTACGACCGGTCCTTGAAGTTGCAGCCGTTGCAGCACCCTGCAAGTCATGTGATCAAAATTCAGACGCTTGGCAGCCCATTCACATTTAGAACTTCAAGGTGCGCTTCAATTCTCACCATCCTCCTGTCTCCCCCCCATCAATGCCCTTTTGGCCTCCCTCACTCCTCTGCCCCCAGCTGACCTTCATTGTCTTCTTCCGCTTTTGTAGAAGTCTGCCCGGCTGAGACAGCAGCTGGCCCTTTGCGGGGCATCCATGGTGCCACCTCACAAAGGGCCAGCAGCTGCCTCAGCCAGGTCCATCTCGTCAGCAGCAGGGGGAGTTGGAAGTGAGCACAGCAGGACAGGAAAAACCTCAACGAGGACTGCTGGTCACGTGATGTTTTGCCTAATGACCACTTCACTTAATGATGGAAATTCTGGTCCCAATTAGGATTGTTAACCTAGAACTACTTGTAAACAGTTTTCATCTAGTTTTGGAAAATCTGGAGTGATTCACTGTTCATTTAATATTTCTCTGTTAAACACTACTGTAAGGAGATACTAATTACAAAGTGAGAGAAGTATTTTGCACATCAAAATTTCAGTTAATAATAAAAAATATAAAGCATATGAATTTCTAAACCAATTCTTAAAAAAACCCAGCAACTGCCTAGCATTTTTTACTTATCCCTCTTGTAAACAGAAACCATTTTCAGTCATATTGCTAAAATCTTGTTTTACAGTCTTTTGGGAGCTTTTGAAGCAGGGCCTCTCAAGGCCCAAGTGTATTCCCTATTCATATTAATTAATTAATTAATTTTATTTTATTTTATTAAATTTCTCCGCCGCCCATCTCCCCCCAATGGGGGATACTGGGCGACTTACAAAAAACATTAAAACCATAAATATATATAAAATAATACATCTAAAATTTAAAAACAGTACTAAAAAAGGAAAATCCAAGAAGATGGAAAATATTAATATTTATGAACTAACCCATCTATGGGAAACAAAAATTCTTGTAGCTTCTCCTATTGTTATAACATATTTTCTATCTGCCACTGTTTGAACTGTTGGGGGGGGGGTTCAACTTGTCAATCCACTAGGATTCCGTTCCTAAAATTAGTGGGCTCTGTTGGTACAGTATGTTGCGTATGCAACAGCAAGCGCTACTCTTTTAACTATCTGTATCATACTCATTGTTACTAATATTAAGTTTGTCAAGCAAAACTGATAAATTGCTGTGCAGAGAATGAAGTATATAATTTACATTGTCATAATTATATTTGGCCTTATTCGTTTATCAGCGTTTGAAATTCCAGGTCTTTGGGAACTTCAAAGGAAGGGAGAATTGAAGCCAAAAGGATTGTCTCTATCCTCTCCACATCTGACTGTAAACATTGTTCTGTTTTAGCTACTCTGCACTTTTCCCAAGGAGCTGGAACTTCATGTGCTGGTTTCCATAGAAAAGTAATTTTGAAGTAATCCCCCAAGAAGTAATCCCCAAGAAGCTAGATGATATGCTAGGGAAAGACAAACAACTTGATCTTATGTGAGTTATACCTAAATGCTAGTAAAAGTTACTACCTAATTCCATTCTTGTACTGTTATTACCAACTTCATGAGTAACTCTTACTGTAAGTACAGGGCCAAGTCCCTGCTGTTTTGGCAACATATTTAGAAGTGGCTTGCCAATCCTTCTTCCTAGGATTGAAAAGGTGTGATTGGTCAAATTCACCCAGATGGCTCCCATGCCTAAGGCAGTACTAGAACTCGTGATATCCCATGAGGGGTCAGTCTCTTTAACAGCTGTACGAAACTGGTTCATCTCTTTCTTGTATAAATATTTTTTTTCAGTGTTCATACATCATTAACTTTTGCTTTTCTTGTTGACAAAGCTATACAGTTTAAGTTCATGTAAATAAATCAATATACTTTTATTGATATGAATATTTATATTTTTTTCTAGATGTGTTTTGCTAATGGGTGTGAGCAAGCTAGATGTCTTATATAGGCGTCTACTTCTCACTAAGCTTTTCATTCAAGGATGGGGAAGACCAGAAGACTTAAAAAGGTAGTTATAAACAGTATTCTAAAGGTAAATATTTGATGTGTCCACTCCAAAGCATTTTTGGTGCTCTTAGTTGAGGCAAATTGTGCAATCATATTATACAAATATAAAGGACAATACAGTAGTTCAAATTGAGCAAGAAAGTGAATTTTGGCAAAGTTTCTATAGTAGAGCTCATTCCATGTAACAGCAATAGGGAGTTTGTGAAATAGAAGTAATACCAGTCCTGATACAGTCAATTTCATACTGTTATAATTACATACTTATTTATAGTATGTAGTCTTTTTTGTTCATAATGTCTGCAACTAATTCCTATTTTTAACAGAATATTTGAATTCAGAAAGATTATTGGAAACAGGGAAAAATGTCAAAATCTTGTTCCAAGGGACTATCCTGTGCACATTAATAAGGTACTGAAAATGAATCATTATAAATGGATTGGTTTTGATTATTTATAACTGTTTAATTCAAAACAGAAGTATTGAGGGCTGACAATAAATATACAGAGAGAAAAAAACTTGTATTTGATAAGGTATACATTGTTAGCAATCTAGATTTATACATTTTGGAAAAATTCACTAGAGTCATCTGTAGTTTTATCTTCTCTTATATTTCTTCCATCTCATGGGAAGTACCCCTTGCTATTATCAATGGACAAGATGCTAGAAGGCAACATAATTTGCATCGACCTTAAACTTTGCTGGAAATAAATTAATTTCAAAATGACATCAGTTTAACATAAAATATCTGCCGTATGTACAGATTGATATTGATGCAGGTAGTCCTTGGTTAACGACGGTAATTGGGATTGGAATTTCTGTCACTAAGCGGTGCAGTTGTAAAGCACAATGTCACATGACCACATCACTTAGTGACTGCAATCCCCGCAGTCTTCATTGCTGTCATTAAGCAAGGTTTGCAGGTCCTTAAGTGAGGACTTCCTCGTAACTTCTTGCTGGCTTCCAACAACCAAAGTCACTGGGAAAGCTGACAGGAAGTTGCAAGTTCCAGGCAACTTGCAGGCAGGCAGGTAGGTAAGTGGCTGCTGCTGGGTGGAGGAGGGCCTGTGGGGGTGCACAGGTAGCTAGTGTGGCATGGTGCAAGCACAGCAAGCCTTGGTATGGTTGATGCAGGTGGCTGAGGGTGCACGAGGGGCGGTGCAAGTGCAGTGAGGCTTGGGGTGGCTGTTGCTGGGTGGGGGAGACATACCCGAGTGACCTGCGACCTTCCCTGCCAACTTCCCCATTGACTTTGCTTGTGGGAAGGTTGCAAATGGCAATCACATGACTGCAGGAGTGCTGGGATGGCCAGAATTTTGAGGACCAGTTGTAAATACCACTTGTTCAGCGCCATCCTAACTTTGAACGGTTGCTGAACAAGTGGTTGTTAACTGAGGACTACCTGTACTGACTTTTAAAACAGAAAGACTGTGCTATATTGGACTGCCAGGAGTCAACACTGACTTGAAGGCACACACACAACGTGAACTTAAATTTCTCATTAGGTTACTTAGGAGAAATAATGGCCTATAATAAATAATAAAACAAATATGATGTTTAGTAGGGTTTTAAAAATGCAATTTGCAAGCTTACACTACTATGGGAATTCACTCTTAATATTAGAAACTTGGAGCAGCGTTAATCTACATAAAATTCATTCTTTTGGCATAGTAGATCTTTACAGGAAAATTTATACCTATAAAGCTGACAAATTTTGCAAAACCAAAAAGTGCTAGAGTAGTTCTAAAGTCATATTTATTTAGTTTTAAGAAACTGCTGAAGATGAGTGGAGTTGTGATTATGAATTTCTTCACTCACTATAGCTATTGAATTTATTTTGGAACACTAATTAAACAATGTTAAAGTCAACTATGACAAAAAAGCTATTATTTATATTTGTATATCTCAGATTTGATTAAGTTACTAGGAGCAGTCCTTGCTTATATATAAAGCATGAATACTCCCAAACCTGTAGTGCTTATGGCTGTTGTCTTTCTATTCCTATGTGGCTATTCAACAGATACTCTGAACTGGCCAATCCAGATTTTAGCAGGAAAATATTCCGTTCTTAGAAGCCAGCAGTACGCATTTATTTATTAGCTGTTGGTTAGGATGATTATGGATGTACATCTGGTTAAGAATGTTGAAATTTTATTCATGAAAATTTTGAAGGTAGAAGGACTTCCTTTCCATCCAAGTTTCTCTCACCCCTACCCAAGGTAATGAAATGCTATACGGACTTGAGCTTAATCACCAGCTAAAGCTAGGAAGGTTTCTCCTGCTTCTAAATTGGTGGAGATGGGGCTTGCTTGTGAAAGGGTGAGAGAAACTGGCAGAAAATAACCCTGAGTGGATTCATACCTTGAGCTAAAGCAGCATACCATCAAAATGTGGCTTAGTTGGTTTGTCTTAACGAGTTGTATATTAATATTTGGTAAACTCTAGTTAAACAAATACTTGCATAGCTCAGTGTATTAACGCAGCATAGCTTTTGTGAACAGTACTCTGTTTAGCAGAACTTGCATTTTTTCCATGAAAACTTTGATAGTGACTGTAAAAATATAATGCTGTATAGGTTGAGGAGCAATCAGACTGCAAGATCCTTGATGGACACTTCATTTCTCCTTTGGCACATTATGTTCCTGATATCATGCCATCAGAATCAATTACTGCAAGGTAAAAATAAACATATATTGTAAGCTATAGAATTTATCATAGTCCATAAATTATGGACTAAATATACTGATAAAGTGATACAAATGCACACACATTGTGAAACATATATGAGAATTTGTCTATTTAATTTGAATAGTTTTTAATTATGTCTTTTCCTTTCATAGGTTTCAATTTATAGTACCAAAGAGATGGAACAGCAAGTACAAACCTGTTTGCATTCATTTAGCAGGCACTGGAGATCATGTAAGCTTCAGTGTTGTTTAGTAAAGGTTTCTTAATACAGTTACATTGGTACTATTTAATTTAGCTTTATTTGACCACGTCTTTTCAGTACTTTTGGAGACGACGAACTTTAATGGCCCGTCCAATGATCAAAGAGGCCTGTATGGCTTCATTATTGTTAGAAAACCCCTATTATATCCTTTTATTTGAGTATTACATACCTTTGAATACAGAGGAGAGAGAAAGTGTTATCTAGTGACCTACTGAATTCAAATAACAATATAGTAATAGAATTGCATCAAAATGTGTGAAACATAAATCTGTTTGATTCTGATATAGATAAGTAGTTTGAACATTCACTGAAATATAGAAACTATAGGCTGTAGTAATCTACTGGAGTTTGGGAGTCTTGTACTGACATTTTGCAGCCCACCCTCATGGCAAATCCCCACACTTGGTTTTTTAAATTTGTAAATTTAGGAAATGATTTAAGTGGTTCTAGCCTACTGAGTTAGCATTTGCTGCATTAAGTAAATGTGTATTCTTAAAGTAACTGTTTTAATGATTGGTTTATTTGATTTAAAGTAAAGAAATAGAAATGTTAAAGAATGTTTCAGAATAGTTCACATTACTTCCTTTAACTTGCATCTGTCTATACATGGATACAGAAAACCTAAGGATCAGTTGTAAGTATTGTAATTGCATCACAGTTTGCTAATTATACTTCCATTTTTGCCAATAACAGCTTTTAATAATGCGCAGAGATGTCTGTTCTTAATTCTAATGCATCTTTGTGTGCCTTCTATCATTTTGTGATCATGTTATGGAAAAACATGTCAAGGCATTGTAATGCATAATACAAATATTGCATTCATCCATTCAGAGATCAAACACTATTGAAGGTTGACTAGGAAATGATTTGGGAAACATTTTCATTTTGAATATTTTCTGCCAGAATGCTAATCTGTGATTCTTCAGATCCTAACTCTCATTAGGCCCAGTCAGCATAGTTAATAAGTCATACTTGATAGAAAACATGCTGTAGCATCAGAGACACTGATTCTGCTTTAATCTATTGCCCTAAATGAATTTATTCTCAGCAGCTGAATATTACATGGTTCAAAAATGTGGGTACTGCATTTCACAGTAAATATTAAAGATGGTTGTTCTTCAGATGATTCCTTTCTCTGCCTACTGAATAAACAGCGGTAACTTAGAGAAATTCAGAAGTAATCTGTTCTCTAAATAGAATCCTGCAAGAATTATTTCTGTGGAGTCTTTGGGGTTCTCTGAGCTTGGTTGTTTTCTTGCAAACATTACCTAGTCGGGTAATGAAACATTTACAAAAAACAACCAAGCTCAGAGTACCCAAGGACTCCACAGTTCAACCCTGAGCTACACATATTCTCTTCTAATTATTTCTGTGCTTTCCTGGATTCTGCTGGATTCTGTTCAGACACCAAATGTATCCACCGTTAGGACCTAGAAGAGGTACAGTTAAACTTACTGCTCCTATAGTCAACAAAGGTGCTATATTGTTGCTTAGAAAAGTATAGTAATTTACCTGGGAAAGCAGGACAAAAGTTGTTCAAATTGTAGCACATTAATACTGTACTTTTAGTTTATATGTGGTTAAAGTCCATAGTGTTTTCTTTTGGCATGTACAACTACTGTGTCAATATGGTATATTGTTTTCTTTATCTAAATGAAGAAAGAACAAATTTATTGTCCATCAGTAGTAATTATTGTTTAAATGGCTTTCTTGTGCTGACTGGTCTAGGTAAGTATTATTGCTTTAACTGATCACATTTTACCATGTTTGAGTAAGAAACAATCAGATATGGTATTTCAAAGGAGCAGCTGTTGGGTGTATTTGCAGCTAAATAATAGATAGCAAGGTCATGTCATCTGAATACAACCATAGTCTGTTAGCTTTCCCTGCCCAAGAGTTTTTAGCATACTGTCTTTTAACCTGTTTTAATAAAACAGATACGTTAATATACTTGAACTTGCTGTTAATATATTTCTTTAAACAAGTAAGTTTGCATTTCTTTCCTTGGGAGGAAAGAAGATCCTGTCTAAAAAACGTCTCTGACCTGTTTGTGATGGGAGGCGCTCTTGTACTAGAATCAGCAGCTCTTTTGCATTGGCTGGAAAAAGAAGGATATGGACCTCTAGGGATGACTGGCATATCCATGGGAGGACATGTAAGAGCTTAAATGTTTAATTACTAATAATGTAATTGAAGTAGATGGTAGCACCCAGCTGAACTTGGCTGATCACAAAAAAGGCCAGATCCAATTACTACTGGCATGGAGACTACTTGGAAATCCAAGACTGTAGACTAGATTAGAAAAACACAAAAAATCCCAGAAGAAGACCATTTAAAATCACTTCTGTTCTAACCAAAAAAAAGGTGGGAAGGTAACATATAGTTATGTATGTATGTATAATCACTAGAAGTTGACCTTCGCTCAAGGGGAACTTGATTCTTAGTAGTACTTGTGTTCTTTAGTGCCATACTACATGTATTGTACTTAAAATGGGAAACATCCAGCATAATGCCATTCTCCCCTAAAACCTGACTTGTAACACATCAGATTGAGAGATGTGTGAGGAATGAGGTGGCTTTGTAGACTAATTCTAATCAAAGCAGTTTAAAAGGTAAAGAGCATTGACCACCACCAACAACAAACAGTTTTATATGGCACATTTGCAGTTACAGTGGTACCTCTACTTACGAACGCCCCTACTTACGAACATTTCAAGATACAATCAGCTCCGGCCCCAAAAATTTACCTCTACTTACAAACTCACCTCGACTTACGAGCCATTTTTCCGCCCGTGCCACGTGGTCCGCGGCCATTTTCCTGCCCGTTCCACGTAGTCCACGGCCATTTTCCGCCCGTTCCACGTAGTCCACGGCCATTTTCCCGCCTGTTCCACGTGGTCCGCGGCCATTTTCCGCCCATTCCACGTGGTCCATGGCCATTTTTCCGCCCGTTCCACGTGGTCCGTGGCCATTTTTCCGCCCAACACATGGTCCACGGCCATTTTTTCCGCCTCTGACGCGTGGTCCGCAGATGCCGGAATGGATTAATGGTAATTACATTGAACCTTATGGGAAAATTTACTTCGACTTG